TGGCTTCGGGTTGTCACATAAGTCCCAGTTCATTCAAGCTACTCAGAATTCGATGACCGGGTGACATGAAAATTCGCCATTTCGAACAAATTGTGGAGTTCAAATGGCGCAAATAGTTGACAAAGGAAAAAGTGTTGACTGATTTCAATTGATCATCCTTCATCATCGCAATAAGGTCCTTTCAAATTTCCACTTGTTCTGTTCAACGATACCTTATTGTAAACGAAACATTCAACGGTTCGCGAAATGTCCATCCAATTATTTTCCTGCAAATCCATACACCATCATACATCATGAACAAAATTCGGATCCAAAAGGGATTGTGTTCGCTGTCATTCTCGAGTCACGGAAATTTAGTAAACTTTATTTTCCCTACAGGTTAGGAATATTTTTGGAAAAACTTTGTGAAGCTCTAGCATTTCTCTACGTAAAACACCAAATATGTTCGAATTCACCAGTTCGCCTAGCAATCCCTCCTCATCCTAGTCTCACACTCTCTATGGCAGATGAAAATGTATGCACTGGTTTGACGAAACACGTATCTAGGTAATATTCCACTGAAGCTATTTCTTTGCTCAAAATATCCATAACGCGTGAACGCAAGATCCTCCAATGTTTTGCATTAGGCACTACCGCTTTCGAACTTGAACGGCACCCATAAAATAACGTCATTCCCTAAATTCTCAGGATGACAAAACTAAGCTATCAGTGAAAGCCATCTGGCTAGCCAGACATGGGAGTGGCTGTGCTTGATCGGTTTACCCCTTTAAATACATAGTTTCCTTTGGTGTTCCCTAATCTTTGGTCTATCGGTGTCCAGCGAGTCGCCAAACTCGGTATTCCGTTCAATTTTATCTGGTTATCCATATCTTAATGCATGTCTTCTATTTACCTGAGCTTGGTGGTTTTTTTCTGTGTCAACTTATCACTGGGAGTTAATCTGGTACACATATTCTACATGTATGAGAGAAGGATGAGCTGAAGGCCCCAAGTTTCTGGATGACCGTACTGCGGAGTTGATCTTGTACTTCTATATTAACTAATCTTCGTTTGCTTGTGCACGTTCGTTCACCAGCATTGGTAACCCCAAAATTTATAAGTGCCTAATCAGTTTACCTTTGAATTACGAAGAGTAAACGGCTTTTTAACATCTTGCAACACTTGTCTTCTCTCAGTAATGAAAAAATAATGTATTCCAGGTAGCTTAGCATTTCTTCATCATATATATGAAGACACGTGTAACATTCAAAAGTAGAAAAAGTATATTTCCTAATTAGATTAGAGCAATTTAGCCACATGCGCAATTTGTACTTGCAGTACTCTACAAACGAAACGTTTCCTTTTTGAACACAAATAACCCGTACCCAAATACAGATGTTACTCATCCGTTTTGAGCAATAAATTTATCTGACGTGAAGAATCTGCAAATCATTAGTTATCGGAATCACGTTCCCTTCTAATGCCCCAAATGAGATTTGAATTGTGCATTTACGTGCTCCAAGTGAACAAAATTCGCTGGAACTTTATACATCTATTAAACTGCATGCGTTTTATTTGGAGCTGTTTTGCATCTTTAATTTTATTGCAACTTTCAGGTTTTGATTCGTTTTGTTTTTGCAACGAGGTAAGGCTCAACAACAATACCTTGAAAATTATTTTCCCCTTTATTCTAGCATTTTAAAGTTGATTTCTACGGAGCAGTTTGAATGGTTACTGTTGGAATTTACATCACCAGTTCTCATGCAATCCTCGCCAGATTTTCTTGAGCCATGCAAATTTTACTATCCAGTTTATTATTCCAATGTCGTTGCATATCTATGGTTTCATACTCCGCAAAATGTATGATATGTCGAGAAACGCGGATAGAAGTAGTTATTGGGCGACAAATATAGAAAATCTGGATTGGAACTGATTCACTTGAATATCTAGTGCATACTGAGCAAAATTAAAGCCTTAGCCCCGATAGGGAATATTTCAAAAGGCCGTTTCCACTGATATATTTCGGAGATCATAATTGATTTAGAATTCTGAAATCGAAACAGTTTTTTGCACGATGTTAGTCAGGTTTTGAAGTAGTATGCCATTTAAATGACTAAACCGCTGACTTTACAAATATGGGGTAAAATTCAGTTGATTTTCATAAAAAATCGTGCGTATTTCTTAGATAATCCAGTCGGCCGTTTAATCCGGAAGCCGTACACTTCAGTTTCGCTCTCCTCAGAGTACATCAACACTGCAGGCACATGATATGGTTGACATGTGTTTTCATGTACCAACCAGATCGTATCGAAAAAGATCAGAATTATTAATCAAAGTTCGTTCAAATTTTGTCCTCAGTTGAAATCAGTCAGTTTGGCTACACTCGATAGCATCCAAAGAAAACTGTGTATGGCAAATTCATTCAAAAGCTTTCTGGTGCATATTACCTCAACAGACCACAAGCTAATAGATTGTACAGTCTGTCAAATTCCGCCAGTGTTTTGACTGGCTCTTGTTCCATCTCGTATTATTTTCAGGAGTTTTTGTTTTTTTTTTCATAGGGGATTCCGGTAGTGTTCTTGTATTTTGAAACACCTTTAAATCTCACACTGTGGCAGTATTCACGAGATCAGTTGAAAAAACGGTAACGCTTGGGTATACGGAGACAATAGGAGACAAACATTTTCTATATGTAACCTCATTATGTTTATCGGAATTGTTAGTTTTAGTTTCTTCCGATAACAAAACTTGTATTTTGTCTTTCTGGGTACTATCAGAGGTTCTTTTGAAGCTCGGGAAGTTCTAACCATTGCAATACAGGCCAATATACTCGCACTGTTTATTCAGTTTGAGTTCATCAAAACAGTCTGGATGGTAGTGAGCCACCTAATTTCCATTCAATCAACTTCCAAGTCCAAACAATATTGAGTATCAAATATGACAAAGTGTTAGAAAGTGATAAAACAAACGTTGGAACTGCACATGGACACCGACCAATGATCTATTAATGCAATCTGGTGGTCACAAACAGAAAGGTGGTAGGTTAAAACCACATTCGATACAAATGTTCAATGAGAGCAAATCAGATCAGTTACGATCGAACATCAACACGATAAAAACAACACTTTAATAATAAACTGTCAACAAACAATTTAAATCTGATTCTGAAGAGAGAATGCATCTAAACATATTCCGATTCTGTCCAAACCACCAAGCCAAGTTAGAGATGTTATGGTATAAAATCACGTTACCATCGGTACCGGGCCTTGAATGGATAGTAAAATGAAAATACTCTCGTTGTTGTAGCATTCTACAACCGATCCTGATGCCGTTTGACCAGAATCAGTAATCACTATAAAGATCGATAACACGTGAATCTGAGGACCTGAATCATTATTCAGTATATTGAACTGTCACATGGAATGTTGACGCAAACCTATAAAGTGCTGTACAGACTTTGCTGGTTTTCATCCTCATTATCAGTTCATCGACATCCAGAGAGTTCAAACCTAGAACGCAACTTTCCAGACATTTTGGAGCATTTTACTGAGCTCCTTGGTCCACTAGCCTCCAGTGGCATCATTGAGTTGCAAGAACTCTAAACCTGACTACTTGTTTTCAGTTAGTAGTCGAATTTCTACATCATTCATATGTCATTTATATTTGTTCTGTCATAGCCTGCATATATCTGCGTGTTTGTATTATTTCCTCCAACTTTGAAATCTGTTTGACCTTCCGTAAGAAATACAATCGCAACGTGTGTTTGGCATGCAATGTAAAGGCTTAACACCCAAAACACGAATGTGACCAGA